GGAACAATATCCAGGAAGCTGAAAAATCGCACCTACCACCTGCCTTTGGAATTACTTGGAACCATAGGCTATCTCTCACCACCCACCCCAGATCATCTCCAGCACAATGCTTCACCTACATTTGAGATTGGTTGTATGTGTAAATGTGATAGAGCCCTCAACTCTAATAATCTTAATAACCAAAAAACTAGAAATAAGCAACAACAACAATAAACGTGGCATGGCACTTATAATACTAGTGCTTCCAGTCCTCTATATAAGAGTTATTTGACTAATTTGAGTATATTAAAAAAATTAGTTAAATTAGTTATTTATAATAATAGGTGTTGTCTTCTTAAAATACCATTAGTTAGAACTACTATTTAATGAAATATTTAACATATGCAATTGTTATAATGACTGTTTGGAAAAAAAAAAGACAAATATGAGAAACAAAATCGATTGATGTCTTGTATTTAGAACTAAATTGAATATTAAACAGGTTCTTATGTTGAGAGTAGGAAATAGTATTGCTGAATAATAAAGTCAAATTACAAGGGAAATAATGATTCAAGTCAGATTACTTAATTTATTACAGCAGATGTCAAAATGACACTAAAAGCAGTCATTTCGGCATACATGATCTCTAATTAAAAATATAAATATTGAGACACGCGCGAGTCATCTCTGTTATAGTTATATAATGAAATATATATATATTATATGTATATATTAAAGTATGCGTAGATTATATTGGGAAGTGTATATATTCGCAACCTCCTAGATACTATAGTCTCAGACCTTAATAAATTCTTGAATTATCTGAATGTCATCTCCGACGTGGTATTGAAAGCTTATGAGTTGATTGTTTCTCCATTCATCGAGTCACAAAGAAAACAACCATAAGGTATAGAATTTAAATATTGATATATTGAGTATTAAAAAAAATGATACATTTAGTCTTATTTTACAATAGTTTATTTATATTTTGAATTAATAGTATTTTTATAAACATTCCCCGTAATTGTAATTTAGTCAAAACATAAAATCACTCGTTTACTCAGAGCACAAAACCATCAGAGAGCGGCATAAATCAAATCACTCTGCTTTTAACAATACGATAATCAGGCATGTTAAATTTAAAAATAACTTTTCAAAAGAATTTTTGACTTTTGGACAAAACAAGCTCCAAGAAAGCCTCAAAATTTACCCTTTTTTACTGAAAACGTTTTTACTGTTGATGAAGATGAGGATTTTTATTTAGGTTGATTGACAGTTGATTACGGCAGAATTAGCTGAAAACCAAACCAAACAAATCATAATTTTTAAAAATAATTTTACGAAATAAAAAATAAGCTGAAAATTTTTATTTAAGTTCGGTAAAAATATTTTTTGAAAAATGATTTTTATGCTAACCAAACACGCCGTATGACTGATTGATTCCATTTGAAGACAAAACTTTGCGATCCTGGAAGCAAGGGGGCGGGACCTCGAGGGCTGAGTGCGGGTGATGGCGGCGAACTTGCAGAAGATCGAAGGGGATGATTCAGTTTTGCTGCGCGTCACCCATTCAAATATTAAGACCTTCTCCACTGACATTCGATTCTCGCTACAGGTTTGTGTCACTTCACGAACCATTGCCATCCACACTAGCCTATCAAATTCTTCTTCATTTCCGTTATTTGAAAACGTCACTCACCTGTTTCGTAGACGTCAGTCGAATCTGTAAAAGAGAAGCTCTGGAAAAAATGCGGTACTTCGGTGAACTCGATGCACCTCGAGCTCTATGACGACGCAAACTACAAAATTTCCGATCTTACCGACAATTCTAGACCCCTGGGGTTCTACTCACCTCTGGATGGGTCAGTATGTTTTATTATTATTATTATCATCATCTTTCTTCTCCCCTTTTACATTTTACTGTTATTCAGTGATGATATAAAATTACGATTATGCGGAAGCCAAATTTGTTGCAGTCATACCTCGAATATGTATTAATTTAACATTTTTTCGAGTTACTCTATGTTAACTGCGTCGAGCTCAGGGTTGAGGTCGCCCTGCTGCCATCTCCAGTAGAGCCCTCTTTGTTTATCCTGTTGCAGCATTATGTATGTTCTCTATCTAGTGATCCTTCTTTGGTGGTTTGTTCCGGTTCTCATGTTTTGCTGTCACCTTTTACTATATTTTTCGGGGGCAAATTTTGAAATGCGAGGGCTTCAAGTGTTTCTCTGTTCAACTGTTATGGTCTCCCATGTCGCAGCGTCCTAGGTGCTTCAGTTGTCAAATGCATGCGACATTGCTTTGAGAAATATGTTGCATTATGATTGTTCATGTTTGCTATGCTATGTAATTCTCAAAAGCACCATTTTGTTGTTTTCTTATACTTCTAGTTTTTGTTACCATCTTGTTCTTTACATCGTCAAAAAGTTAGCATAGACATTTGGTTTATGTATCTGATCGGCTTCTATGCATTTGCTGCTGGGGCAGGTTTCGTTTGCATGTTATAGATCTTGATCCATCATCTGTCACTTCTGGTGGTTGGCTGGAAGATACTTCATTGGTGGAGAAATACACGATTTCTGAAGAAGCTTATAATAAGCGTGAAGGTATGTTATCTTATCCATTTGAATGAAGTTCAGCTTTTATCCAAAAAAACGTACTCTGTACGTGTATTTATATTAGACTTGGTTAACATTGAGATAGTTGAATAAGAGGTGAAAAATATGTTGCCAATCAATGAAGTTATGATGAAGAAATTATTCCATAAAAATTGACTATTAGTGGGTGATATGTGTTTTATCTTATGCTTTTTCAGGAACTTTTAGAAAATTTAAAGAGAAATTGTCTTCCCAAAATCCATCAACTGTTGCGGCAAAGGTAAGTGTTTGGTTGATTTATCCCTCTTATATGCTGTCAAAATGCTCTCCAGGAGTAATTTGCGTGTTTAACATAAAGATAAGACTACGTTGGAGTTCCGCATGTTCATTATTATCTTTAATGGAAATGGATCATATCTGCCATCTAGAGGACTATCTGACACTTACAATGATTGGCCATTTCATTGCACAGGTGCCAGACACCTCTCTGGAAGACCTCCGTTCAAACATTAAGGTCAGTCAATTATCTCTCTCTGTCTCTCTGGGTTGCTATTCATTACAACTGCTTTATGGAATTTTTAGTCTGAGATGAGCTTTAGCACATGGATGTGGCAAGTGAAAATAGGTGGAGTATAAGAGTGGGCAATTGATTAGTATAGTGTAATGTTTTGATTGTCCTTTCGTTTATTATCCTGTTTAATAACTATAAAAAACAAATTGACTAATATTATTTTTGTTAAGACCACAGTTGATATAATTATTGAATGACTTGTTAGAGTAGAGCTTAATCAGCTTAGAATTTTTATGAGCGCACACACTTGCTGTGATATTTTACTACCAATCATTAAAAATTTGTGCCAAGTATTAACTGCTTCTCGTATAACCAAAGAGTTGGTGACTGATAAAATCAGAAGCTGGTTGTATGCTGTGGCAGTGTGGCTATTGTCGTCTGAATTGTGTAAATATGTTTTGAGTCACACTTTGTTGGATATCTTGAGCCATGAATGTTTTCCTTTGGACACATCAATTATTGCATGCCTTCCTTTTTTTCAGTAGATGCATGTTTTCATTTTTATTCTTTTTCTCCAAAGAGATAAACTATGCATCTTGTCATTATTTAAATGTCATTCAGATCATTTAATTATCAAAACATTGACTATAACGATGATCTTACTCCTCTCTTGAATTTCTAAATATTAAGGTAGGTTCCAGATGTGAAGTTGAACCTGGGGAGAAACGGGGTGTTGTAAAATTTGTTGGCCAGGCAGAAGCATTGGGTCCTGGCTTGTGGATTGGAGTACAGTATGATGAACCCTTGGGCAAACATGATGGCATGTAAGGCTTCTATTTTTGCGCATCATATGTAGAAACCTCTTGTCTAAGCTCAACTATTGAGTTTGCTACTGTTAGATTATTTTCCCCTCAAGTATATCGGGCTACTCATTAGCTTCCTATCAACTTCATATTTTCCTGAATAAATTGTAAACATTTGTTTCTTTTTCAGTAGTGAGCTCTTCGGTCTCCCCCCCCCCCCCACCCCCCAAAAAAAAGAAAAAGAAATTGTTTTCCCCTTTAAATATTAGACAGACTCTCAAATATATATAGTGGAGAGATCCCAAGATTCACATAGGAAATAGTCTAAAATTTAACTATCAGTGACACATGCTTAATGTAAAGGGTTTATTCCATTCATTGGACAGTTCTTACACAGGCATGTCACCTATTTGTACTTTGGGGATTTTCTTTGATTGTGTCCTTTGGGGATTGAAGATGTGATTACAGCAATCATGTTGCTGACACATCAATCTAATACTACCCCCGATCCTAAATGTGAACTTCACTTTGTAATGCAAATTGCAGATAACACACGCACCTGTCATTTTGTAACATGAAGTTTATTTAGTTTTCGTGCGTATATAATTTTGCAGCCACGCCTGCATGCCTTATCAAGTTATGATGTCTATCGGTCATGTTATGCTGCAGGGTGAAGGGAGTACGCTACTTTGAATGCCCTCCATCTCATGGGGCAATGGTTAGAGCAGAGAAAGTAAAGGTTGGTTCTTAACCATGTTGTAGTGGATTTCATTCATTGCCAGCTAGGTTTCATTCTTGCACACGAGATTGGTGTTCGAGTTTGTTTTTCTTCTTTTCCTTAATGGCCCAGATGCTTTAGTCCGAGATTTAACATATCAATCTTCTCCTTTTTCAGGTCGGTGATTACCCCGAACGGGATCCGTTTGAGGACGAAATATGACCGTGGTTTTTTTCATTTGGACCTGAAAAGTTGAGCACATTTTTCTTATCTTTTTCTTGAGCATCTAAACATTGCGGATGGAAACGCAACTTTCTTGAAGTTTCTGGGTGGCTCATGGGTGAGGATTATTTTCCCCGGAAAGAAAAAAAAAAAAGAAGCTCCAATCTCACCGCATGCTTGTTACAAGATATCCACTGTATTTTACTTCCCTCAGCTATCATTTGTCCTGCACAGCTGTTGGGCTAACTACTAATGTACTTCACTTTTCTGCCTTTCGACGTAGGTTTATGTTAGGTGCATATGTTATAAAAGATAAAATACTACTGATGCTCAGCAAAACTCAAAGTGAGATGATTACAAAGGCTTTAGTTATACAATTGCATCCCAGCCTGTGAAGGGGAACCACCAGGAAAAGATGAAACCGTTCGTTGTTCAACATTTATGTACAGCATCGTGAAAATAGGGTTCCACATTGCGTCCAATTCACATTCAAATCGTCTCCGTTAGAAACTGATGAACATATATTCCTCGTCAATAAAGGCAAAAATAAACGCCCGCGAATCATGTACTTCCACCTAAAAGTCTTCCGGCTCATCCAAAATAACCTTCCTGTATGAGCATAGAAATTTTCACATCCGTTAAAGGACACTAAGTGATTCAGGTAAACACAAATTCTTACATATTCTTTCGATTACATGTACAAAGGTAGCAATCTGAGTTCCTAAATCATCCGTTAAAAGCTTTAGTCTGTGAGGGAAAAATTACTTGAGCATCAACATTTTGAATTACGGGATTTTAGTATTTATTTCTTACAATAAATGAAGGAGAAACTGACTTCTCATGTAACTCAAGTCTGGAATTCTCTAACCCCATGGAAAGCCGTTTTAATTTATCGGTTAGCCAGAATAAGTGAAGGGCGAACACATTATTACATTGTACCATTTTTCAAAGCTCACTACGGTCATGAACACAGACGGACAAGCGAGATCAGAAATTAGCACTTTGCAAACAGAGAGCCATACCTTCTTGCTCGAGTAGTTCGTTTTCCAGTGTTGTCACCCTTTACCTCCTTCATGGTGCTTTTCTTTGTTCTGGACCGGCTTCCTCCTATGATAATTAGTTTCGTCAGTCATGGATAATCAATATGCCCATATAAAACGTTGAAGTGTAAGTTGCACGGTTCACATGTCATGAATAATGTGCGTGGAGTTCGTCGTAGTTATAAGAACAACCAAGAAGAAAAGTTTAAATGCTTAAACGGTAAAATACCTCTCTTACTGACCAACGGGGATTGAACTTCGATATCCCCTCCATCAGACTCTGTCAGCTCACTTGAAATAACAGAATGTTCTTCTGAATCAGTGTGTTGGCTTTTCAATTTATGATTCTTAGACAAAGCCATCCTCTCACTGCATGGGTCGATAACTTCACCACCTGCTTCCTCTGCTTAATAATCAAGGTTTTTCAGCAACAAAATACTAGTCGGTCAGTAAAAACAGCACAAGCTGCATGAAACTCGTACAATTTTCAAATACTTTATATCCAGTAAATTCATGCTGATTATGGAGAAGATTTTCCCAAAAATTATGACAATGCAGTATCATATTCGCGCTTATAATTTCATATGCTCATCATCGTCACCAACATGTCTCTTTAAATAACTGCCCATATATAATTGCGTTTGTGGTACTACAAGTTTTAAACAGTAGAAGGCTTCATTCCATCGTTTTATAAAGGTTGATCGCTCGACATTGAAGAGCGCATGTTCACACGTGAAAGTTATTTCACATACATGCAAATAATATTTTCTTTTGCGATTAGTATCAGGTAATCACTACTTATTGATAAAATTCTTGTGGTGGATCCTACCAATCTATCTTGGTTTCACCTAAATTTAATTTTTGGGGATAGACATCCCGTCTTATTCCAATCAATCCTTCAAGCTAAACCTACATAATGGGAGACAACAAAAACGAAAGAGCGGAAACTTATGCTGGAAACTGGGGGCTGCAAATAACTTAATGGGCGGTCAGTCATTCGACTCAAGCAGAGATTATGTCAAGGATTATTGTTTGTAAAGTCGGAGATAAATTATAAAGGCAGAGAGATGCGGAAACAGACTGATACGCAAGGAAACATGAACTAGAAAAGAAAATTAGAGCTCATGGACAATTATAGATATCTCTGAAAATTTAGGGAAATTAAGAGGATAATGACGGACTTTCAAGTTAGTGGAATTAACCTGTAGTAATATTAGATTCTGTATGGTCTTCAGCATCTAAGGCCGCAGTAAAGCCTTCCCGTCTGCCGATCTTCCGTTGATGAATGTGGGCGTTTCTAGCAGTAACTTCTTGTTCCTTCACTTCCATATGGAACTTGTGTAGTTTATCCTCGAACTCTTCAATACACGATTTAAGCTCTGGTTTTGCAAATTTCTTGCCCTGATTTCAATTGAGAATATACAGAGAACAAACTCAGCCATTATAAAATAATAAATGCCAGGGAAGCGGAACATCATTATCCTTTTCGCCGGAGACCAAATTATTACCTTGTTTATTATGTTCCTAAAATGATCAATAACAGACTCCTCTGACAAGGCATGTTCATACGTCTTAAATAACTCAATGAGTTTCTTCATCCCTTTTTCTGTAAATGCTAGCTGAGAAAGGCAGTAAGAAAGATGTTCCCATTGTCTGACATCTGCAAAGGTAAAAAGCTACATTTATCTGTAAACAAGAAATTAATTTCTATTTCTTTCTAATTTAAAGTAAATATCAATGCGTAACAAGGCAAACAGCAGTTGACCAGAAAGTGAATCATGAAAAATATTATATTAAAGGCAATGATTGTTTATTACATCATGGGAAAGGAAAAGAACCAAATAGAAGAAAACGTCTGTAGTTTATATCACCTTTCAGCAAATAAACAGGATTGAAACTTGAAGATAGTGGGTGAGATCATTTCAGACTGAAATTCATATAAAACTAGTGACCTCGGTTCTTCATTATCGCAATTGTAATACTGAAGGAAAAATTTCCCCCATAAAACAATCTCAGAAACCACACAAGTATAAACATTATCGGGCCTTAACTTTCGTAACAAACAGTTTATCCTTTGCTGGCTAATCACCACCTGCGACTTTGCTTACTAAATATTAACAGGGAGTGTCAAGATATTGTCAGGAAATGAAAATACCTGTAACACCATTAAACCTATTGCATAGCTTTTCCACAAGAGCATCCATTTGTTTGTCCTGAAAGAATTCAATAGAACTCGTGAATATTACAGCCAGAAACGTCAATCAAAATTACTGAACATTTAAAATATCCCGTACCTTCTTGATCGAAGCAATTAAAAATTGCATGATGTTGCAGAAAGAATCCTTGGTAAGATTCTGACTGGATAACTTGCTGAGTATATCAGGAAGTAAATTATAAATTGGATTGCTTCCTGATGGCATGATGAGAAGAGATAAATTAGATGCCATTTTCCTATAGAAGGGAACATTAGAAGAAAATAATAGGATAGCAGTAGTATAACTTTTTCCTCACAAGGACAACTCTTCTGTATCTAAATATGCACATATACCCTGCCTGCTTGACATTCTAAATAATGATTTATTAAATTTGGATATCTTCATCCAACACTAAATATGACTGCGAACAAGGCACGGCGCTAATACACTATTGTAACTTACAATTTGCATTTAAGAGTATATATAAAGAATTATTAAAGTAGAAGAGGAAAACCTTTCTTGGAAAGTTCATGAAAAAATAGCTTAGCGAGACTTGAAATTCTCTTGTCTTCATCCTCTAATCTCACAGCCATTTCGTTGATGTAACCTTTTACCTGAGCAACGACACATCAGATTCACTTTAACAGCAAAAATTGAAAAGGGAAACAAAGTTACAGCAACATCTACCTTCATCATGTCATTCAGTATGAGATGTGAAAGCACCAGAACAGCATTCTTCCTTACAGAAACGCAAGGATCTTTAAGGCGAGCATACATATGCTCTGTCCATGGTTCTAAAAGATTGGGAAACCGAACTGCTAAGTCACCCAGTGCAATAGTACAATTAGAACGAACAGTCTCTGAATTAGCACCTTCGACAACAGTGAATAGGAGCTGGAGATTTGCATCACTGAAAACGAATCACTAAGAAAACTATTTCATTCTCCACAAAACATCAATAACTAGGAAAGTGGATGTGGGGGAAAGGTAGCAAGGAACTCACCAAAACTCTGCATCAATAATCATGAATCGACATAAAGCTAACATTGCTGACGCCTGCAATTCTGGGTACTGAATACATAGAAGTTACATTAATGAGCAGGAAAATTGATTGTCACTTTCGGAGTAACATGAAGATTTGAAAAATGTAAAGCAGCTGCATTATAGTATTCTGATTTTCAAAAATTCAAGTAACTTCTCATCACTTCTGCAATAATATATGACATTTCATCTTTGTTAAGTTTGCTCATCTCCATCTCTAGACGTTCATTTACTGTAATCCAAAACGCTACAAAACTTTTGGTAGCCAAATGCATTGGTTGTATTTTACATCATATCTTACTTTTGGTGCTGGAAACCAAGAAGTTGGGAAAGCGAGAAGAGCTTAAAAATATTAAGGCAATCACCTTCTGCATCAGTCCAAAATTTCTACAAAGCTTGGACAAAAAAGTCGCGCAGATTCCAATCAAATTCTTTTCACCTGAACAACCAGAAATGATTTCCTTCTCTGCTTTTTCAAACAAAGCATCAAGCACAGCGTCCTCAGAAGCGGCCAAACCTAACTCTTGATTTATATCATTGTCCTGCAACGCATTATGCAGACAACTCTTCAGAAAGCTGAAAAGTAATAGATAAAATTATCAAGGAAGAGAACATAACCGGGGGGAAGAAAAAAACTCTTACACACCTTTTGCATAGCAGATGGAGCTGCCCCATTGCAATCTATACTCTGATTCTCAGCATCCATTTTTTCCTTCGCTATTTTCTGTTTCTGAATTTTTCTAGAACACGATTCAATATATACTAGTTGATTCATGGCAACATGACTTGTGACAAACAAACACCTACTTAGTTTTGCCACTTGAACGGTAGTAAGCATGCTGACTTCAGTGGGATCACTGTCATTCTGCAGACCATCCGCGCAATCATTAAATACGGAATTCAGAGTCTTTCTAACCAAGTCAGCAGCTATGGCTTCTGGGGTAGGATGAATTGCATATATGGCAGCTATCGCTCTGTCAGCAGCAGCATACCAGATATTTCCTGGAAGCCAGGAGCCCGTAATCAAACTTTCCAGAATACCAAATATCCGAGCACCACTAGTAACCAACAATTTTTTCTTGTCATCATCAGACAGTCTCTGGATAGCAAGACATGCTGTCCTAGCAAGCAAAGGATCAACTTTAGCCCAACGACCAAACCCAATATCAATGATGTCCTGTAAATGTGAGCCAAGGACACTGGCTGATGAATTTGCCACCATGCAAAGAACAGATAAAGCACCACGGCTATGCTCCGCGGTGGTTCCACTAATATTGAAGCAAAATATATCCCACAAAGCTGATATCTGAAACAGCAAAGACATGAAATTAATTAATGGGAGCTAAGCCTGATAATGGGCATAAAAAACTAATTTGACCAAGAAAAATAAGGCATCTGTAAGGCTATTTAAATCAGCAATCGAAGCTCATGGCCAGCGTCAACAATCTTAAAGTCCTGCTTTTCAGTAAACAAGAAGTGTATAGCAAACAACACTGTCTGTCATATAACATTAAACAGTAAAAGACAATACTAAAGCCCGGAGGCTGTCAAATTATTTAAGCAATATATTACTTAATTAAAAACAACAGAAGAAAACATACAGTGCTGGAAGATAAATCACCCTTGGAGACCAGTGCACCGATTATAAACTCAAGAGCTGCTAGATCCCCTATATTGGAATCAGTGACAAGACTCGCGAGATTCTTTGCAGTTTCAACAGGGTTCTTCCTAATATAAATAGTATTGAAAGCGTTCTCCACTGCTTCATAGATGGATTTATCTTGGGAAAATACCTAATACCAGAAAGAGTTAATTGTGGAAAACGATATCATCCGAGCCATAAACAAGAAAGAATGGAGAGCTTACCAATGGCAACATTTTCCGTAGACATTCCTCTGAGCCATCAATTTGAAACTGTCTACACCTCATCAACAAGAGAATTGTATTTTCAACGTCAGTAGCGGAGGATGAAGCCATCAATTGGACAAGGGTAGGCATCGTCGCACATATACATTTAGAGAACCGTAGTCCAGCCTCAAGCGATGCTACCAATGCCCTTGTCTGCTCCAGATTCCCAACATCCGGCAGATTACTATCTTGCAAAGCAGTCACCTCTCCTGGCTGCGACATACAACTATCAGTTAAACTGTCTTGATGCTCCTTCTCAACAGGTCCAGGATTTAAATTGTCGACTTCACCGTCACCAAGACAGTTATCACCATCACATGGTAAGTCATCAGTAACATTTTCTGAAGGCATAGCTGGCTCAAGCTCATTTAATCTCTTTTTGTACTGGTCTAGGGTTGCTTCAAATGAAGTTATTCGGAGCTGTGGACCAAATGGGTTGTGCTGCAGCATCATGATCAATAGGTTTAAAGCAGATTTCCTGACAATTGCACTCTTGTCCTCCAATCTACCAGCAGCAACCGACGCGACTTCATTCCACAAACCAATTGAAATACAATGCTCTTCGCATAATTCAGCCCATACCTGGAGAACTCGACTTCTTGTATAAGCTGACACATCTCTACAACGCTCAAGTAAGATTTCCAACATAGCTTGCTTAGTACGCAGGCGAATAGATTTTGAGCTCACTTCACCCTCAACGTCCTTAAATGCCTTTGCTATCAACTTTCCCAGCACACCAACAAGAGCGTTTCTAATCTTGTAGGATTCACCACCAAAGTGTGGAATGAGAATGCCAATATTAGTGGAAACTAGCTTAGGAAGGCGATCAGCTAGCTCAACGAGAAAACGCCCCACATTTTCAGCCCCAACCGTGTCCCTTACATAATCTTTTGGATTAGTCCTTCCAATCTCTCTAATAAGAGAGATGGCCATACTTCCGTCTGCATACTTCTTCTCAGCATCCGCGACTGCATCAGCCATGTGGGCAACAACAAAATCATGCCTGTGAATCAGGTGCATAATGGATGCACACGATTGTGCCATGTAATGGTACTTTGTAGAGCAAGCCCCAATAATACGACATAGAGCTTCTTTTGCTTCAGAATCTTTAAGGAGCGTTGGTTTCTCAAACAAAGAGAACGCATTTCTATAAAAAGGAAATGTCAAGTGAGGAGGCTTCCACTAAAAATTCACTAGGAAGGAAATACATCTATCTACCTGCAGAACTAAGAGATAGATCTCTTACTTTGTAACAAAAGACAAATAATTGTCATCCGGGTCAGATGAACCAAAAAGTAGTTCAAGGTTGATCTCCAGTGAATTAGCAATAAGGCCAAGTATTCGGCCTCTCTGTGCCTCCCAATTCCACGAATTCACGGGTTGTTTCTTCCTGTGAGTGCTAGCCGTCACCTGAATTAACATTAAGATGCTTCAATTGACTGTGACAAAGGGATGCATGTATCGCTAACTAAAAAAAGCAATGAACTTGTGATGATTTTTGATAAAAAATGGAAATTAGTGAAATGCAAAACCTTCACACTGTTGTTCGAACCACTGTCGGACTCTTCGGCGAGAACTATGTTTAGGAGGAAGTATGTATATATTTTAAAAGCATTGCGATGAGAAGCAACGCGATCTAGTGCTGAAATCTCTTCATCCTGACCTTGAGACACCCTTAGGAGCGAGTCTACATTAGGTAAAAGCACGCTAACATTGGAACGAAGACTTTCGACGATATTCAACTTGCAAGATGGAGAAAGACTGCCATAACTCCGAACCAATGAGTACACCCGATCAAAAATATCTTGGTCTTCAACACAGAACAATTCTTTATCGGAAAGATCAAAGGACACGCCTGTTTAGACGAATAAGCTGATAATTAAGTTCTGCTAATCGAAGATTTATCCGTTAAGCTGAATCCATTATACACACGGTTCAGGTCAGAGGACTTATTTATTCGTTTGGTAACAAAAACCGAGCGGTGCTGAATCAAATTAGATCACAGTTTATCGTGGAACAGAGAATTTCGTGTAGAATAAAATTTGGATCTGTGAAACGCGGTGAAGGAAAGAACCTGACCTTTGACAAACTCTTCGACTTCAGAGGCGCGAAGTGAAGAAGTGTCCACAAGCTTTCTGACGCAGAGGCGGTCATCATCGTGGTCTTCTTCGAGTTCTTGAAGAGTACGGGGGAAGACGAAAGGAGGAGCCATGGAGATTGGAGGAGAGAGCGAGGTTTTCTCTGTTCTTATCGTTCCAAGCACGTCAGTTTCTTCGGGCGAGGCGTGACCTCCAAAATTCAAATGCAGGTGAACAGTCTGAGCGGGAAATTTTTGTTGTCGTTTCATATAAAAATATAAAAGAAAAAAGACCAGCCCCAGAAAAATTTAAAAAATAATCAAGTTATTTTTAAAATTTTAGGTAGGTGGGATGGGGGAGAGAAGCCGATGACGGAGAGAGTAAAAAGAAGAGGAAAGTGATTAGTGAGAGAGAGACGCGTACCTATTTCAGTGGAGAACAAAAGACGACGACGAACAGAGGCGAGTAGCGAGTATGACTATGGAGAGTGTCGCTCACGAAAGTGGAAGGCAAGCGGAGGTTGAAGGGGTAGAGGGAGACTGCGAGAGGCAGGTCGGAGGCGGACAATGTGAGAAGGCGGCGGCGACAAGGAAAGGGAGCGCTCCTTCGATCCCGCCCATTTGACAAGTTTCAAAAAATGACAGACAGATGGCAAAAAGTTGCAAAAAGGTTAGAAGTGACATCATAATGCGAAACACGTAACTGGAAATAAAAATTGCCTTTCACCCCAAAAAATATTGCCTCGTAACAGCGATAGAAGTAAAATAATGGCTACATGTTATTCAAACGCCCAATGTTTACATGACCCTGTTTGGCATAAATCACTTAAAAACATATCTTATGTAAATTCAGATAAGATTTTTTTTATATACTTATTTTGTATTTAGTAAATTACGATTGAAAAGTTATTCCGAGTGGGCCTATATTGATATGTTGCCTTGTAATGTGGATAGCTTCATTACATTGATAGGTCAAAATTAATAAATTAAAGACAATTTTGAGAAGAACCATGGTTAATTAAATTTCTTGATGAATCAATTCTAAACTCTAAATTTTAAAACTCAGTTTTATAAATCTAGTCATCTTATCATCCATTATTTGGTAAGTTCATTTTATTTGTGAGATTTCTTACATTAAATTTAAGTCCATTCATACTCTAACGTCCTAACAATTAATTGATCCTTTGGGCGTGAGTCCATTAACTCTCACATTAAAAATATCACATGTATAAACTCCCAATTTTCGCAATCCAGGCTAGCTCAGTTTTCATGTTACAAACAGTGTGCCGCATAAAGTTTATGCCACAGACAAAACAAAATCACTATCATCTTTAAACTTCAAACGTGTACAGACTTTCCAGATCAACAAAACGTGCACAAACTTTCAATGACATCCCCCCCCCGCGGCCCGGGGGTGGGGGGGAAGATGACGAGACCTTGCCAGTACTACTTGCTATAACTTAAATGCTTCAACTTTACTTTACTTTAATCTGAGCTCATGTAATGATTGATTCGGACTAGTAGGTTAGGATTATTAGCATGGATTACATTCATGCCAAATAACAGTCTCAACGTTATGTTTATTTTCTTGTTATAGAGAAATTTCTTGGAAAGTTCTACCCTTTACAAGAGTTTTTGCCCACGGTATTATTTCATCATCAGTTTCTCCCCATTTAAACCAAAATAAGAATCAACATCTTCGAGCTTAATATTCAAATTGCCCATTCCAAATACTACGACAAAGACTTGACAAAATGGTAGAAGGTGCCAACCCCAATACTAGTTCGACCTAACTCAAAGTCTAAAGAAATAAATAAATCGCATTTTTGTCTGTGAAAAAACTTTTACCTTCACCCGAAATTTTTTTCCCCTTGCCGCGTGGTTAAACAAACAATCACCCATCCATGAACTGTGCATGATTGAGCGGACTGGCCAACGCGGCGCGCAAAATAGAATTTGCGGTTCTAGATGTTTGGTGAGGCAATCGAAATTCATCAATCATCCAATACAGAAGCCCTCGGATTCAATCATTCGACCCCTTTATCCTTTGCCGCATGGGTTTGTTCTCGGTATCTATTCATCAATCTCTGGCTCTTCCTTGAGAAGCCACCGCGGGTGGAGCTGAATATGGCGGTGCCATGGAGCATGAGTCTCTGGATGGCGAAGATGGTGTGGATTGCTTTGAGTGGGTGGGTATCTTCGTGCTTGACTGTTGCTGACGAGGTTGCTAGTTCTCTTCGATCCGGTGATCTTGGCCCCTTCAATGTTGGATGATTCAAAAACCTAATTCACCTTTGCTTCGGCCCTGGTTCGTCTCACGAAGTCATTTTTATGCTTTCTCTTACTCGGTTTTTTCTGTTTCTGAAACTATAATCGTTCAATTAGCTGAAAGATTCATTGAACTAATTGACTGCGCTTCCTTTACTCCATTATATTTCAACCATTGCCATTAGCTAGTTTTTTAAATGCACTGACATAAGAGACCAACTCAGTATTGAATTGTTGTGTTCCCTTTTTTCTTTGTGGCTGCTGCGGGCATTTAACTCTGCCTCCTATTATTTCTGAGTTGGCAGTGAAAGATTGGAAGAAGGTGATGTGATTACAGAATAGTTGAGCGGTGATTTAGTAAGTTCAACCCTATGTATTTATTTTGGTGGCCTCTATGGGCTATGGTATAGTTTTCAATCCTTAGTGCCAGGTCCAAGTACTTGTAACTCGGAGTTAGGGGGTCCTGATATATATAAGAACAAAAAAGTGTTTCATGGAAGTAGACATGGGTTTGAAAAGCACTGACGGTCAGTCATCCTGAAGCAAAGATAGCCTGTTGAAGTTTGAACTTTTCCAATAGCCGTAAGAGTGGTCAATTTCCTAGTTTAAGCTGAAGATTTGAAAGAGAATGTTATGGGGGATCATAACATCTGGGTAATGAAGTGGGAACAAGTGTATTTTGATCAATTAAAGATGAATTCTGCTTGTACTTCGTCAATTATTTGAATGAGATTCTCCCTTTTCACCTAAAAAAGACGAGTTCTGCTGAACAACCTTCCAGAAAATGGCAGGACAAAACGTGACAAAGAGCTGTGCTTCTGTGTTTATTATGTCACTGATGTTGTCTTGGCAGCGGCCATTTTACTTCTGTTTGAGTTATTAAAAAACATGTTAATTGTTTAATATTTGTCTGACAACTCTCACATATGGAATATGTTTGTATTAAAATTAAAGCGCCCTCCTGAAATAGATTCAAGTGGGCCAAGGTGAACAGTCGCTGTAGAGTTGAGACAAGTTCTGATTATGCAACTTGTTAGTGGATTTTATCTTTGTATTGTATTTATTGTTTTAGTTGTTTGGTGTAGTGGGTGTTTTTACAATTTATAGTGTATATAAATACAATGTGTTGATCCCAGTGATATTTATCAGAAATTCAGCAGGCGGTGGAAGAATGATCAAGAAAACTAATCAAAAGTCACTTTTTCTGTCGTGCAGTTCTTTGGATTGTACGGGGAGAAGAGGATAAGATTCATGTTCAAGAATGTTTGCCTCTCGTTCCAGTGTGTCAATCTGGTGTCGAGATATTACTGTTTTTCCCCCATAGATTATTATCTAGTCAAAATACAATATAGACTATTCCCTGACTTGAAACCATACTTGTAGGATTAGTGTAGTGATGGAATTTGTAACGCACTTGTAAAGAATGGTACAATTTGTGTATAATTATCCGGCGAGGAGAGCATAAACACATTCGGGTGGCCGTTGTGAGAATAGTTTTGAGCGTTGGGTTTCCCTTATCCCCAGTGTTTGTATGGATGAAACAAATACCCGTGATTAAGGATTAACGAATATAGGTTTTGAAGAGAGAGAGAGAGTTTTTCATTTTCGCCACCCAATAGTAAATGCACTTTGAAGTTCCGATTGTTTCCGCAGCATCGGGTCATGACTGCTAATTCTATAGACACGATATAGAGATATCGTAATTTTAGAGCCAGTAATAGGCTCAGCCTGCCGGAAAAAACCGGCTTGGGTTGGCAAAATACTAATCTGTCAACGCTGCAGGCGAGCCTGTTGGCGGGATGGCCCTTTTTTTATTTTTTATTTTCATATAATTCCCAATATATTACACAATATAATTAAAATATTTTGACTTTCAAATTCTACGTAAACAATTGAACATTATCTTATTCATATCATTGCGTATATAATCAAGCAATATTTGTGACCGTGTCTGTAGTTATCTAGAGAACATTATCTATCTTTTTTTTTATTTATTTATTGCGTTACTATACAAGCCTTTATAAGATTAGATAAACATGTGATACTTATATATATATACATAAAATATCTACTTAATTAATTTTGATGAGAAAATTAGTTAAATTAATTATTTGTATAAAATATGTGTTATTTTAAAAAAGATATCTTCTTAAATTATAAATTAATATTTACATTATTTTATTATAACCCACTCTCAAATTCAAAATTCCAAGCCTAATTTTAATATTTTAAACTAAGTTCAACCCATATAATAATAATAGTTTTTTATTTAAAAAAATTAATATGGGTTGGTGGGTGCCCAGGGGTTCATGCTGGCACTTTAGCCCGCACTGTTTTAAACCTGTACTGTCGTGGGTTAGTTCGTATCCATACCGTCAGTCTGCTTTCCCATCTCTATATCATGTCCAAGAGAATATGAAACCAAACCATGATTTGGAAAATAGCTTTTGGAGAATAGATTCTAGGAAGAATAAATTCTGTGAAGAATAGATTTTGTAAAAAAGTGAGAGTGTTTGGATAGTTGTTATCAGAAGCACTTTTTATATATACAAATTACTAAAAAAAAGACATAAGTTAATATGATAATTACAGAAAAAATAGATTTTATGATATATTTTAATTTGAAGGAATAAAATTGTTAATAATATATTTTTTACCAACATAATTAATAATACATAAGATAATATAATTAATAAATAATTAATATGTATATATATTTATAAAATATAAGATTAAATATGTTTATAAAAAAAATAACAAGATACATATCCTATATGCTCTCACACTCTCCTTTTTTTCTCCAAAAACAATCCAAAACCATGGTTTTGATTTTTGAGTGATTTATTCCTCAAACTATAGTTTGGGGTGTCACCCAAACACACTCTAGATTTACCACATCATCCTCGTGGCGGGAAGCCAAATTTCGACTTGTCAAATCCAAATAATACAATTTAGCGTCTGACCAAGTTTCGAGGAATATGGCCTGTTGTGGTCAGGCAGAACAAATTCTTGAATTTAAATTAAAAATAATAATAAAATTGGAGTTTTTGGTGAAAAGGATATACTTAGGGATATAATTTTAGAAACAAAAACCGGTTAACTTAAGGGTATGTTTGGCTCAATGAGAGGAAGGGGAGGGGAGGGATTTTAATGGAAGGAAGGGAAGGGAAGGAGAGTAGAAGGATTTTAATATTATCTTGTTTGGATTTATAAAAAAAGAGGGGAGGGGAGGGAAAAACATTTTAATATGGATAATTTTACTCTTATTTTATTTAAAGTATGGGCATAATGGTCACAACATGACAAAATATATACATAATGGTTATAACATGACAAAATATGGGCATAATGGTCATAATATGACAAAATATTGCCATTTCCCTCCAAATCCTCCCAATTTTGGAGGGGAGGTTAGGGAGGGGAGGGGAGGGGAAATTTTAAAAATTTTTCCCTCCCCTCCTAAAATTTGTGTGTTGCCAAACAAGAAAAAATAATTAAAATCCCTCCCCTTCCCTCCCCTCCCTCCCAAATCCCTCGTACCAAACACACCTTAAGTGCTCATGGATCATTATGCATGACCTGACGTCCCTACGAGAGCGAGAGAGAAGACAAATATCAACGAGTTGTCTTTGATCCGTGACCTGGTCGAGATACCCAGGCAATTGGCTGGAAATTCCAAATTTTGTGGATCTAGGTGTGCTTTGGTATATAGTGACATGCATAACACTCTTCTTATCCTTGACATATGACATAATTATTGAATTGATTTTGATCATAAATATAAGATATATTTCTTATATTTATTAATTTTTCTTAAATTACTTCTATAGATATTCTTTCAACTATAATCAAGTAGAAAAGAAATAGAAGATATTAAAAAAGATGATTATGATGTTTTTAAAAAAAATCTTATATTTTTTATAATTAAGTAACTTACCTAACTTTCTTAATTTAATCAAATTAGTTAAATAGGTATTATATTAAGGATTAGAAGAATAATTAGGAACAGGAGCAAAATGGCTGGAGTTGAAACATATGATATACAGAAACGCAGAGAACCAGTGCGGACGATAAAATAGAGTGTTATTGTGCGAGGGAGGAGACATATTTTCCTTTGCTGAGTTGTTCAGAATCTCAAGACAGGCAGATCGAAGATTCCATCAAAGTTGCTTCGCCCAAAAAAAAAAAAAAAGACAAGAGTTGAGGGGAGGGGGTATAAATTGCAGAGTAAAACGTGTTAAATATAATAAATACCACATAAATAATCCTTTGCCAAGTTACCCAGCAATTTTTTTTGGTAGTATCATCAAATTACCATGTTCATGCCAATCCATGCGACATTTCGTGTCAGCTAAAATGAATTAGAAGGATGTGCTAGTATCCTTGTAGCTAATGCAGCGATCATTACAGCAATTCCTCGCTTTAAGGCGATTCGAATTTGACTCTCACGAACACGTTCATGCTGATTTTTCATGCCTGTTTAGAGTTTGAACTCTAGTTTCTTCTGGATTGATGTGCTTGGGAAGCAAAATAGGAAGGAGATATTTCCAGGAAATGTGTACAGGATGAGATTAAGAAAAAGATACATGAGAATTCCATTTCAAAAACGAAAGAGAATAAGCTGGCATGACTCATCAGACCATAGTGGCTATGCCATTGAATCTTGTTCTTGTCCTATCAGTTTCAAGCGAAAGCCCCTCTTCCACGGTTTTCCTCTTGTTAGTATTGACTATCTGCACTGATTGTTGATGTTGTTGTTCTGCCAGAGGTTGTGGTGCTAGTTGAATCTCTGGGGTTTCAAGCTTTCCATCTCTTTTTTGAGCTTGATCCTTCAATTTCTGGGTCTTCATCATATGGGGTCTAAGCCTATGCAGATCTGCTGGCTTCACTGGTTTCAAGAAAAATTCCTCTGCCCCTTCTTCTAGGCATTTGCTAATCCTGGAAGGCACATTTTCGGATGACATAATCACCACTGGTATGTTTCTCAGAGACGAAGATTCCTGAAATACCACAAGTAATGGCCTGTCATTTTCAACTCTAATGCCTCTCAGGTAAAATTTGCTAGCACACACTTTTCAGAGATTCTTATAGAATTCTTCAGCTAATTCCTAGCTAGCGGCTACTGAAGCGGGGCATTTTTTAAAAGCAAATATTGTGACCGTATTATACCAGATTCGTTTCGAATGGGAAATTGTAAATCAGCTAGGAATTGATATATGTTATATGGCAAAACAATAAAACTAAGGAAATTGACAGTTTCATGCCATTTCGATATGGGATTCAGAGTTTCGAAATGTTGAGTCGGGTGTTTCCAATAAAAGATGAAGGAGGCACAGGTTCTGTATTTTAAGTTCTCAACTAATAGAAACAAACAGATTGTTTGAAAAATTAAATTACATAACAGACGAAGAATCGTCAGAACTAGAAAGCGAGGCATACCTTGATTCTCTTGAGTAAGTCATAGCCAGTCATGCCAGGCATACAGTAGTCTGTAATAACAAGGTTCACATCCACTTCCTGGGAAAAACGCAAAAACCAGGAGAACTTCAGGTCAGACATCCAGGAAAAGAAAGTTGGTGGGGAAAAAAAATGGAAGAAGAGACTGGGGGAATCTCATACATTTTGAGCAGAAACAAGAACGAACAATACCTGATCACTGTGAGGAGACACTGAAGGTGTATTAGGATCGGTCTGATCATTGTCACGCAAACCCAAAAACTCTAAAGCCTTGCTACCGGAATCGACGGTGGTAACTGTCATGGACATAACGGAGTTCATTAAAACCGGATGAGGAATCAGCGATCAAGAAAAGAAGAGGGTTGTTTTATCTTACCTTCATAGGAGGAGGTTTTGAGGAGCCTCTCAATAAGCTTCCGGTCGATTAGGCTGTCATCGACGGCCAACACGTGAAATCGGGACTCACAGGCCATTCCCATTTTCAGATGGAAAATCAGAAACCCAGAATCGCAGGAAGGTAAAGGCACGAGAGAAGATGAGAAGGAGGTAAGAGAATGGAAGGGAAGAGAGAGTTGGGTTGGTTGTCTGGTTTTCAGTTATGGAGGAGGAGGACGGGGGAAAAAGATGAAAGGGAGGAGTTTTGTATTGAAAAAAGGCACATCGCATCGCACAAAGCAAGATCCGACCAGATTTCATACCAAATCCAAATCTTTCAAAATTTTCCAACTTGATCTCTTCATTACAAGGCAAGCGTCGCTAATATTCAAACAAATATATAAATAAACAAGTCCTACTCAATATATTTTTAGGCTGATGCAAAGGCTGGGCTTTGTTTATTTATTTTGTTATACGCAGAGGTCACCGGCCCTTGATATGCACAAATCACCATACTAGTTTAAATACCAGAGAATCAACACAAAGATCAACAGGGACTACTATAATAATCAGTATGATTTTGATGAAAAATTAAGCATGACTACAGAATCGCATTAATATGTTTTATGATTTCTCTTATTAAATGAAAATTATTTTCGTATAAAAAATTATAACAATTGCTTATTGACAATAATAAAAGGGTAAAAAAAAATATGGAATTAAAACTAAAAATTGAAAAAATAAGACTTTTATTTTCCTAATCAATGCAACCAGATGAACTATGATGCTCATCAAAAAAACCAGATAAACTATGATAGTGTTTCGTAAATATACCAAAGCAAGCTTTCACCTCTTTATTGTATACTTTATGCAGTCTATGAAATGAGTTTATAATATGTAAATCTCATATCAGATCGCAAAATGGCAATAAAATTCTTTAATCCCTCCAGTCAATGGCAATCGACGATGAAGACAGTTTTTTCCCCCCACACGAGGACGGTACAATTTTCACAGCAAAAAGTGACGTAAAATTTTTTTTAAATTCCAAATAAATTAGAAAAAATGGCAAAAAATAAGACCACTAAAATACAAAAAAAATTATAAATAACGACCCATAACATCATTAGTATGTGTTTTTAAAATAATTTTTGCAAACGGGTCCTGTGTGTAATTTTTCTATTTTGACGTTTTTTTTAATCATTTTTCCAAAAAATTATGTTATTTCGTGACATTATTAGTTATGGAGAAACATATTCACGTGAACAATTCCTTGCTGGAGGGAACCAAAAAGGTTTAATTCCCTGTTGGACTCTTGAGACATTACCTGCCAAATGTTGAATAGTGATGGATACCGTCACATATAGGCTAGCCCCCTTATTATTACTATCCCGATCCTAATTATAAGACCCAGTTGACTAATTTAAAGAGATTAAAAAATTTAGTTCAATTAATTATTTGTCAAGAATAAATGTTGTCTTTCCTAAAATATCCTTACTAATCAAGTGTATTGACTAGAACTATCATTGTTAGAAAGACTATCTTAAAAAAAGTGAATAATTATTAGAAATAAAGTGGATTGGGGTCTTATATTTATAATTAAAATAAAAATCAAACAGAATTTTATAATTACGATCGGGGTAGTATTTAATTATTCATTTATTAGCAAGGCATAAAAAAACGAACGTATCAACCTCGGAACCACCACGCTCCTCTCCAGTCTCCATCTTCCTCCGCGGGAAACTGGAAATCCTCGACCGTTGGTTTGATGGAACAGTGAGGGAGCATGAGCGACGTTTGAAGGCCAAGATCTCCCCCACGCCACGAGCTTTCCATCTTACTCTACACCCTGTAACACCTAATCCCTCGCTTTGCTCTTCTTTACGGTGAACTCCATGTGGCCATCTGGACACGTGGATCCTGTCCACAGCTTCACCCCTCCGTATCTCTACATCATATCTCGTTTCTCCACTGATGTGTCCTCGTTTTTAATTTTGGGTGATCCATGTGTTCTTATTTATTTGCAGGGGGATTGAAACAAATTTCAAAATATTATTTTATTTTATTTCTAAATTAGAAATACATTCCATCCGGGTCCAAAATGTAGTTACTGGTGAAAACAAATTTTTTTGCAGAGGAAGACATAGAAAGGAAAATCGCTTTCCCTTCAGCATGGGCCATGGGGATTCTCTTCTACCAATCATGTTTCTTACTTTTTCTTTCATTCCCTCTGATGGTCCAATCCCTGAAATTATTGAAACATGCCAATAGATTTTTCGAGGAGGAAATTTCATCCAAGTAATCTATAAAACTGCGTGTCATTTAATGGTTTAATACAAAATAAACTATAATTTATCTTGAAAATATATACTATCTATTGTTTTTAATGTAATAACTACTTAACTTTTTCTTTTTTATCATTATAAGAGTTATTTAACTAGTCTAAATAAATTAAAAAAATTAGTTATTAGTAATAAATATGAGTTAATTTTCTTAAATCACCGTTTTTATAATTACTACTTTTGGATGAAAATCTTTCTACACGAGTAATCAGTAGTGATGTTTTAGATAATGAATTACAAATTTAAAAAATAAAATAGATTGAAATCTTATATTTAGGACAAAATTTAATCCTCGGCTATCTTTTATATTGAAGACCAAAAGTAATATTATGTTCAGCCAATCATTGTTAAATAGCCGAATTAGATTGCATGGGTGGTGTGAGATTACAATTACAATACTCACTTACAGAAAAGCATTAATATTATTAGATTACCAGCATTAGTCAGTAGGTTATATAAACAAAACAAAATAGTAATTGAAATTTATGCAGGGATGACTAATGTGACTACGAAATAAAATTTACTAATACTCACATGGATTTTATCAATCCGTTATCCCCCCCCCCCCCCCAAAAGAAAATCCTTTTATCTAGAAAAGTTAAACAAGCCGGACAATAATTGGGCTGATTTGAGAAAGGCGTGAATAAAGGCGCAGAAAATAATGAAGAGGCCGCTTTCTCCTCTCCTTTGACTGGGAGAGCCACCATAGGAGGAAAAAAATCGAAGGATGTCTGCCCCCAAAAGTGCGTGTACGTGGCTATGTGCATTGTTTCTCATCATGTCAAAATTCCTTCCCCTCATCTCTGCTTTTGGCCTCTCATCAATTGCTTTCTTCTGTTTTGACCATCTTTATTTCATCCCACTTTTTATTACCGAGTTAGTTTTTTATTTAAAATAAAAGGCATTAACAATTTTAAATTGTGAATGAGATTAAACATGCAGCCTACTAATGAGAGCGCTAGAAAGAAAGATTTTATATTACTCTCTTAAATATTGAGCTAATTTGATATTCAATGTGGTTTAAATATAAAACCCTAATTAACTTTGTTTTCAATATTTATTCATTTTGCCTTAAAATAATCCTTATAGTGATTGCATATGTTAAGGAATCAGTATCAGTGGGTAATTCAAAAGTGCAAAATTAATAAAGTTATTTTAGTTGTTTTAGGAAAGACCATATCTTTTTATTACAAATAATTAGTTTACCTAATTTTTTAAATATATCTAAGTTAGTCAACTAGATTTTATATTAAGGGGGTGTTTGGCTAACCACAAAGAAGCACTTTTCTGCAAATCGAGACAAACTCCTCCACATATTTACTTCGTATATCATAAAAGCACTTCTGGAACTATAATTTTATTCTTATCCAAACACTTCATGAGAATCGGAGAGGTAGTGTTGAATTTGAGACTATTTATATTGTTTATAATCCATATTGCTTATAATCAGTGAGTAGTGCATATTTTTATAAATTTTATATGATACATGCATGTAGAATAAATACAAATTTCAATGTGCCAAAAAAAAATTAAATTTGTTGAATTAATCAATCCGGGCACATTGGATTGTGGATATGATGGATGAAGAGTTTGAAAGGCAATGGAAACAAACAGACATGGTCCCCTGCCATGGCTTTTGTGTGAGGCCATGGACCCCTCCATTAATATTCCCTTCTCTCTTTCCCATTTTCAATTCCCTCATCAAACACCCTCCCTTTTATTTTTTTCCAAAGTGCCCACTCATTATTTATCATCATCATTTTTTTTTATTATCACAGGTATATGTTGTTCCCATTTTCACAATATAAATATATTTTATTGTTATATGTGTGTGTTATAAATCCTCCCATTAGGAATCGTATCAGTAGGATATACATATTAATCAGGCTAACGCATTCCTGCACTCAGCCTCGAATTTCTATTTCGTTATAAAATCCCATTTGGATTATTTAAAAACATTAATACAAAATGGAATTTTTAAATGATTATTGATTTATACTCGGCTTATAGTATTATTTGACTTATAGGGAAATATATATAATTTTAGGTCAGTTTCGTATAAAAACAAAAGCATATCTCAAAGATTCGATTCTTTTTTCTTTTTTCCTTTTTTTTTGACGTGACTAGATATGGTGGGGACCTACCCAGCGATTTAAATCCGATATTCCGATTTAAAATAATAAAGAGGCCAGTTAAAATTAATGAGAAGCGCCACATGTCGGCTTTCTATTGGCCCAATTAACTTACCAAACAAACCTACGTATGCACAAGTATGAACCTAATAATACACACAATTCATTCCTGCAATGTCGTTGTCGCCATGTTACGCAGACAAACGTGCCCAGCAAACTTATACAACTCAAAAGTTTTGAAATTCACAACCCAAAAAAATAAATAAATAAATAAAAGGGGGGCGGGGTGGCTGTGACCCAAGCAGATTTTTCAAATTTATATATGCTCGCCTCCACATGGCAGCATGTGAGTGGTTTTTTCTTTTTTGGAGGGGTTTTTTCAAACAACATAACACGATGTGTATGCGTAAAGGGTTCTCACAGAAATTAGGTTGGTTTGTATACAACGTACTCCTTCGGATCTTATATATAAATTGTCCGTAATTAATTAATAAAATTATTAATATTATTTTTAGTTCTTAAAACTTGATCTTATTTTTAATTGTAATGCTTCAAATTTGAAATTAGTGGTTTTGGTTCTTCAAATCTTGTTTCAGATACATAAAAAAATTTGACAAGCCAGATGATATTAAATTTTAGAATCAAAATTACTGGGTTGAAATTTTATGAACAAAAACCAAAACAGTATTAAATTTTAGTCAGTAAAGAGTATGATTTTAACCTTTAATAAAAATAAATTAATTAAAACAATAAAGTTATCTAAAGTTTGTGTCACTTTCCATATCACTGCCTCGGGATTTCTTTCCATTGGACATCAAAGTTATGCCTTTGCCGTTGTTTCCTAGTTTCTTTAATACTCCTCCGGT